AATATGAAGAGGAATATATGTGTATATATGTATGACTGAAACACGATGTTGTACACTGGAAATTGACACAACATTGTAAACTGACTATACTTCAATTAATAAAGTAATGACTTAGGATGTTTATAAAAGAGAGTTACTTATAGTTTGAATTTGGTAACATATCTACCACATCTCCTTTATTTCATAAATATTCTAGCACAGCTAGCTATCCACCTACATATCTGCAGGCCTGTTATTGGCTCTGGAATCAGACCTACTGTGTTAAAGTCCAACTATGCCACTCATTAGCTGTGTGACTTTGGGGAAGTTGTATAACCTCTCTGGTTCTTATCTGTTGTGAGACTGAGTTTGTGCACGTGGAGGCCATGGCAACGCACCTCCCAGACCTCACCCGGCAGGGAGCATAACTGACTGACCGTCCCAGCTGCTGATTTCCTGGGTCCATTCCTGTGTTGAATAAAGATACACATACAGACTCAGTGCCTGCAAGATGAGCCACACCTTTGATCGGCAGCTTTGGCTTAAGGACCGCCCTCATCCTGGCTGCCGTGTTCCTAGAACTGCCCTACATTTTGGGGTTCTGCCTACCCAATCGCCTACATTGTTGTCTAAAAGTTCTTCCTGTTTCCTTTGGTTCCATCCCCTTTATCCTTCACAGTTGTTTTCTCAGTAAATCTCTCCCATGTCTAATGTCATCCTGGAGGGCCTAGAGTAGCACAGTGCATGTGAAGGACTTAGCACAGAGTAAGTACTTGATTCATAGGGACCATTCTTATTCATATTCTTTTTATTCATCACATAGGAGATTCCATAAACACAATAGTAAAATGGCAACCTCAAGGGTAGGGTAGACTCAGAATATTCACTCAAGATTAGGGAAAAAATGTACAATGTTAGATAATTTCAGATCATAGTGAATATTATGATATCATCACTTTAAAACAGTACAGAATATGAAAGACAACAACAACATATAAGGGCTGATTTGGATTAATGTATGGTTTGAGTTAAATTTAGACATGTGGACTAAAAATGTTGCTGGGTTAAAGGAAAAAGAAGTCTGGCTTATCATATATTGAACATTTGAATTTTATAAAATGTACCTAAATCCTTTCCTTCCCATATTTTTGTAAGTTCTGAGAAAAAGGAGACAAGATAAAAATAGGATGAATGAAAAAAAAAAGAAAATAAAACATGATTTTCCATTTGTGAATTCTTAATACCAGACCCTCATTCTAATATTTACTGAAGGTTGACCCACCCCCAAGCACAATCTAATGCTACACGATTTGGGGGCAGGAATTGAGGGACAAGGCAAAGGATGAAGGTTTGTGATCCTGGTATTGGGCTCCTTAAGGTTTAAATGAATCTCTATATGTGCATATTTTCTTAGTGAACAGTAATAAAGTACAACCCATGTACAGAAGTGCTATAAAAACACTTGAGTATGAAGACTAGCCTGATACTGAAAACAGTAAGAGTAATTAGTACCATTTCTTGACCACCCATCACATGTCAAGCATTTTATATAAGTTTTCCCACTAAGTCCCCTCAACACCACTACAAAGCCCACAGAGGATCAGGCGTAACTAGGTGACATCATGTAAAGGACATGTGAGAAGAGAAGTCGGCACCTGTCAGCTGTCACGCACTGGTTCCCTGCCGGAGAGAGGTATTATAATACTGGGAAGGCAGGGAACATTGTCTACAGATAGAAGCAGGAAAACGGAAGTCTACAGCCCTGCTTTCCACGCTTGTCAGACACTGGGTGGCTTCTGCACAGTCCTGCCTGGGAACAGGAGGCTGGGCTGATGGTCTCAGAGGACCCCATCCAGGTGTAGAACTGCCTGCCTCCGTGAATTCAGCAAATCAAGGGACCTCCGTCCAAATCAGAGCTGACCAAACGCCACACTTAGACATCTGAGAAGCCTGGCAGAGCAGGTTGCGGTTGCTCCCCACCCCATGCTGTCTGAGGGCGCTAGCTAATCCCCCATGAAAATGACTGGATCTGAAGCCACCTTCTCCTCGGGCACCATTGTGTTTTTCCGCAGCTTGAGTCAGCCTCAGCGCTCACAGCTAACAGTCGGCGGCGGAGCACACACTGCCACGCCACACGGCTGGCTAATCAGTGCCTATTATGCTGTAGAAAGCCGCACTGATGTGCCTCTTACAGTTTTTCCACTGACACACCTACCATCTGACACCATACAATTAGCCCTGCTCTCCTGGAGCCCAGGGTAGCAGCAATATTACAACATCAGAGGAATCATTATTTGAGATTCAGAGCAGCCCATGTGCGTGCAGAGTTCCTATGCCCTTCCAGGCCAAAGGATTGAGGGTGTTTGTCTTTACATTGTCCAAAAGTGTTCATTTTCCAGTGCATTTTCTCGTAAGAAAACCATGCTGCTATATAGTCATCGGATCCATGATGATTTACCCCACTGGGAAATATTACCCCTTCTCGGGATGGAGAAAATAGTACCTTGCTGAGCATTTCTTTCTGTATTTGACGGGAGGAGAGTATCTGTTTGGGGAACTCTGACGTTTTACTTCACCAGATAATCATATGGAAAGCCTTTTTGACAACTCCGTGTGTTTTACATTCTCAAGTCTCATCCCCAGTCTAATGTCCCCCACTCCCTGCCATAGACACACACAGACACACAGAGATATACAGACAGACACACAGATAGACACTCACACACACAGAGGTCAGAATCAAGTCCAATTCAAAATAGCACAGACAGGGCGCTACAACAAAAGTAACATCCAGAAAAAAGTGGTACTTAAAGGTCTCTCCAGCATTTAAAACAGGCAAGAAACAGCATAAATACTATGAATGAAATTCTAATATGTAAAAAAAATCAGGGTTTATGATATACCATCTACAAATGTGGTTTTGATCCACGAGGACAGGGCATTAAAAACTTAGGTTCTCAGACTATTCAAGAAACAGACATGTCAGGGGCACAGAGAACAGCCAGTGGTCCACAGGCTGGAACGAGAGCTTTACCGAGCTGTGAATGAAACCACTATGCTTCCTCGAGCATGATGTTTGTGGAGGAGGAGGAGACGGGTGCGGGGGGCCCTGTTCCCTACCATGTACTCCTAGCAGCAACACAAATCCCGAGCCGGGGCACCCGAGAAGCATGGGCAGGGAAGGAAAGTTTTCAGGATAACGTAACTTGTTCCCACTGGTGCCGGTTTTATACCCAGGGAATAAGAAAGTTTCTCCAAATCTGTGTTTATCCACCTGGAGTCTCAGGAACTGACACAGCTCTCCTGCTACATCAAAAAACAACAACAACAACAAAAAACCGGTGAACCTTAGATATCAAAACATTTGAATAGCTTTTTTTTTTGTTGTTATTGTTTTGGTGATGGTGGGTCCTCATTTTTCTTCCTACTTCAGCTGCTCTTCTGAAACCTGTGAGATTTCTTTGGAAGTGCCAAGAGAACAATTTTTGCTAAATTTCCAGCTGGGACTTTTAGGAATTAAAATACCCCAGTCTGCTCATACTCATGCTATTTCTAGTCTTGATTCAAATCAGATTTGACTAAGAATATGGACTTTCAGACTCTGGCCCCATCAAAAAAGATGAAAGAAAGGAAACTTTGCCTTGAAATAGGTTAAATAATTTCCAAATATACTACCTAATTGTTTGGGGTGGGAGGGAGTGGCTTCTGGTCAGGTAAAAGTTCTGTTGACTATTTTGTATTCTAGAAGTGTTACAAATAGACCCGTTTCCTGTGTAAGTGCTGCTTCCAAAATCACACCTCCTGATTTCCCTGGCTGTCACTGGTTTACATTTAGAGTATCTTAAAAGACAGGAAATTTCTTCTTCTTCTTCTTCTTCTTTTTTTTTTTTCATTTATGATAGCACAGACTCTCTCCACATAAAGGTAAACAAGCTTGGAGAAGATAATGGAACATGAAGACCTGATATCAATGTCAGAACATGTTCCAATGAGCTCTAACCAGGGCGAATTGCTACACGGGTGAGACCACCTGCTCCAGGCAGACAGATGGAAGCCCTACAGGGGTCACGCCTCCCCTTGTAAAGAAAGCTGGAGTCACATACGTGCACAATTTTGGTAGGGGGAAAAAAACACCAAGACATTGACGCTTCACAGAAGACAGCAGTGACTTTGTTAAAGAGACACCAGCCCTCCCAGCTCCCCGACTCCCTCCAGTACCCCTCATTTCATGGGCAGGGCAGCAGCATCCTTCCTTAAGCACATTTGCCTAAGAAGAATAGGATGAGAAATTAGCATTCTCAGAGGCTCTGGCAATCATGCAGATGAGATAAGCTGAGTACGTGGGGTAACAAAAATAAAACCCAGGGCACTGCTTCTACTTGGATCCACACTCTCCTAATAACAGCCACACAGTAGTGCTGATTTTGGATGATTGAAGATAGCGCTGAAAAGGTGAAAAAAGTGACATCAAGAAAGAGGTTATATGAGAAAGAAAAGGGCACGCGGATAGAAATTCTATTTTTAGGACAGTGTGTGGGTGAGCTATACTATAAGGAGATTCTTAGGTGAAGTACTTAAGGAAGAAAATTTGTAATTTTAGTTGAATAAAAATATGCTCTGTCTTCTAGCAAACATACTCACAAAATTCACACTAAAATGTGACTCTAGAAGATGGTAAAGGAGATTACTCTTTGTCTTATACAGAGTATGGCCTTATTTTAATATTAATGTTTGAGTTTCAAAGACTTCAACATCCCTTTATATTGGTTCTGGAAGCCATGTTTTAGAATATTAGAAAATTGTTGATGGCATTTATTATATAAATAAAGGACAGATAAATTAATTCACTAACTCATTCATTCATTTGTCCATTCATTCACATCTCCACTGGTACAAGCTATCCCACAGACCACTTAGAATTACTGTTCCCACTAACCAATGCCCTGAGCATTCCCCAGACATGTGACAACCCAAAAGGAAAATAAAAAAACAAAAACCCCCAAACCTCAACTCATTTCCAAAGATTCTGGAGAAGAAAGAACGGTGCCCCCCAACCCTACTCCACTTTCAAGTTGTGACGTCTCCAAAGAGGCTGTCAGTATAAAGCAAAAAATATGGTTCCTAACTCCCTGGAGTGAACAGTCAGGTGGGGAAATAGACTGAGCCATATAAATATTTACTTTTAAAATATTTAGTGTTGTACCAGCGAAATGCTCATAGGCAATTTATATCACTTTTGTGCAAAAGAATTCTTCCTCACAATGTGTAACACGACGTCACACCAGAAATCTTACTGTGGATCCTTTAAAACAAAAATTCATTATTGGCTCAGGACAGATAAACATACATGACTGCAACTGAGTTGAGTTATATTTCAGGGTCATAAAGGAGGTTTTCAAAAGTAACGGAAAGAAAATTTTTGCAAGATGCACACTGTAGTTTGGTAAGTAATTTCCATTCTCTGTAGAAACTGTTGGAAGGAGGGTGTGCTTTGGCCTTGCCTTCTATGCGAAAGTAGGAAATCCAATTCTGATCTGTCAGAAGCCAGTCAGGCTCATTCCCACTCAGCATTTCTTGGCTCTGTTTCAATTTGTGCCTTTACTGAATGGCTTCTTCGCTCTTAATTTTATGAACTTTAAATGCTTGAAAGCCCACATCAAGTATGAAAGAGAAAAAAAAAATGGTGCCTGATTACAGATGTAATTCCGCAGAACACACTGAAATTTGCATGTGATCTGAAAAGGGAACCTGATCTCTGAATGACTTATTCTGACAGTGGTAGACACGAAGAGAAGGCCGTGGGCATCTTAGCTGGGGCCGACCCTCACACCCTGTTCTAAACTAGTGCTCCGTAAACATGCTTATAGATTCCATTCTGCCGTAACCCTTCTTTCTTAATTGCATCCTGTTCTGTTCTTTAAGTATGAAACCAGTACTTACTTTTCAGCTATTCTGAGAATCTTCCAGGTGTTGAATAAGATGGAAGCTACTGTCTCTGCAAAGTCCATCTGTCATTGTTCCTAGGGTGTCTTTTAGTCACTGGGACAGCCTTTACTTTCACTTTTGTGTTCATGATCCATATGATAAATGCCACCTGAACAGAACAAAAAAAAAAGAAAGGAAAGAATAAATGGAATACAATAGTAAAAATGCATTTTAAAGTATCTAAAAAGACGAAGTAACATTTTTGGTTTTTTTTTTTTTTCCTTTTCCAGTGTCACATCAGAACTCACAGTCCCTGATCTTCCAGCCTGTTACTTCAGACCACTGAGCCATGCTGCCTCTCTGAGTCAGTGGACAAAGATTTAGAAATGCTTTTGCAGCATGAAGGGATTTGGAAAATACATTGTATCCAGAACAAAGAAGCAATGGTGCCTTTCTAATTGATCTTGTTCCTCCCACGCCTTACATCTGAGAGCCACTGCTTTCCTACATGCAAGACTATGCAGAGATCCACCTTTGAATCTGGCAGAGCATAAAGACACAGCTGGTTGCAAAAATAAAATGTAGGATTCCTGATCTGACATATGCATATACGCTGAGTGTGTAAGAATACTTCATTTCAAATGTAATACATAAAGTGATTTGAAAAATTTCTTAAACGAGAAAGAATATAACTAGTGAATCTGAAAAAAGAAGAAATTAACATAAAAAAATACCACTGGTATATAATCATTTTTAATATATTGAAAGATACTTAGCAAATATAAGCATTTGCTCAAGTTCTCCCTCTGACATTTGAGGAATATTGGTTTCTCTAATGGAATGAAGAGTGAAGAATATTGACCATCACACATTGTGGATTTCCTGAGTTTGAAATTAGTAAATCTATCCTCAGAGCCAGTGTCTTCCAAAGGATACAGCAGTTGGCCTTCAATAACCATGAACTCAGTAAATCAAGGCATCATCTCTTAGTTTCAGTTTTCTTACCTGAGGTGGGTCTAATTCTTCATTACCCTCAAAGCATTCCTTATCACACATACTGACACCAGAGTGCTTATATTTGATTCTGTAGGAAAGAGGGGTCACACTCATTCTATAGAAGATTTTAGGCTATATGTCTTGTAAACAAATTTATACCTCGGTTAACTCAATTTCACATTTATTTTCAAAGTTTATGATAAATAAACTCTAAGATTAAACATTCAGGAGAAGATTATTTTATCACTTCAAAGGTACACATGGTTACAAAGAAGAAGACTGATTTATTTTCTTCTGCTTTCTGCATAATACTGATATTTTAAGTAATAAAATATGAGAAGCACTTGTCTAAAATAAAATTTCTATCATTTGACCCGTAGAAGTTTTGGTAACATTTTTGTAAAGTTTGAGATTTGTTTTCCTTCTATTACTTTTCAAAGAATAGAATATCCCAAAATTAGAATATGTTTGGGCAATTTTTGATGTTCAATGACAGAGGAGAATGAGAAAAAGATTATAGGGAATTTTTCTTAATAGTAGACAAATGCCCAGTGTACTTTCTGTCTTCATGTTCCACTACATAAGTGTGGTCTGCTACCTTGACTCAGAATTGAATAAAATGCAAAGCATGAAAAATTGGTAAGAATTAAACTTTAAGTCACTCAACTGAGCTTAATAAAATAAATACACTTCATTCACAAGCCCTCCAGAATAAAAGATACATAGTAATTTTGTTCAGAAGTCATTGCAAGATGAAACAAAGCATCACTTCAATTGAAATCACATATAGAGATAAAATAAAGTGTTAAATATTACACAAATAACAGGTTTCTCTAATACTAATTTGCCTACTCCACTAGTCTGTGATGACACTGAAGATGCAAAACGGGTTAGTGGTGGCTGTGGTAGTTCTCAGTGCTACTCAGCAGGTTGGTTGGTTTTTCTCTTTGGGGACACACAGGTTTGTGCTTCCCTGATCCTGTGAGGGGCAGTGACCGTGTGACTTTTTTTTTTTTTTAACAATGAGATGAGCACACTGATGAATAATTCTTCAACTTCTTCTCCTGGGTCAGAGATTGTGTAAGCACATGTTAACATGGCAGTATGACAAGGGGACCAGAGAGAGGCTCTCTGCCCTGGAGGAGGCCTGAGGCAGTAGAGCAAGGGCAAGAAATACATCTTTACTGTTTTAAGCCACTGAGATTTTGAGTCCTTAATTAAGATTCCTTAGTACAGCATACCTAGCTATTCTGATGGATATGTATCCATTGTTCTAAACA